GAAACCACCAAGTAAATATCACTCAAGCAAGCAGCTCACAAAAAGCAATCGGAAATTGATCAGTGGACTAACATGATCCTGCTGACTGGTTGACCTGACACTCTAAGTGAAAATGGCTCATCCTTAGTCAAAACAAAACCGCCTAGTGAATGCTGGTGAGTGCTAAAGCATCACAAACACATTCGCCTCCTCTGGCCACACCATGCTTTGCCCCTGCAAGTAGGAAGCCTGGGCAAGGACAACCCTTTCCAGCGCCAAAGCGTGAGACATTCAACCAGTAAGACACTGTGCTAATTATTAATGTTGGAATTATCTAGCAATGGCCATACAAACACATCACCTAACATTGAATCAACTTGCAAATGGTTCACACGACAGGGACAGACTGAATGCAAGGAATCGTCTTTGGCATCGACATTGAAACCTCTCTCTTGACCTCGCTTGGAGGGCTCCAATTTGGGGGCCAATGTTTGCACCAGATGCCCAATGAGCAGCACCATGACACCATGACAACTAGAATACATCCAAACTGAAACTCACAAACCTTTCTTACTCATCTATCAGATATCAAGCACCAGAAAGTGCAAGCATTGACCCAACATTTCCGGGGCGCAAATAAAAAGCACTGACCCTGGCCTGCTTTACCACGGGGGGGGGCAGAGCAGCATAAAGCGCAGCCACCAGGCCTGAATGGACATGACATTCTGCCGAGCTGTGACCAACTGTGATCATTGGGGATGTTTCAGAATGACGGTGCCCTTTTTCGTATGGAGCAAGGACTTGAACGGAAGTAAAAAGGGCACATCATTTTGAGACATCTCCAATTAAGAACAGCTGATGATGAAATCAACTGATCAACTCATCTTAGTTTACCATATCATGCGATGTGGCCTTTTAAGTAAACAAACAGTGACCTTGACCACAATTTAACAGGTTTGTTTGCTTGGATTGTCTGACGCCCAGCCTTTTTTGAGAATCCTAAACAAATGATAGCCGGACTGCATTATTAAAATTGTACAAACTTGCTGAAGCTGAAGAATTACTACTGAGTGAAAGGCCTCCAATGGATGTTAGTTCAACAGCTGCAAGAGACACCTTTGTACAGACACTGTGGCACATGAAGAAAGTCGAAATGATTAAGTTGCAGGACTATTGAATCAAACTCAAAAGGATGTGGACAGCCAACATTTGGCTCAACGATTCAGCACTCAGTTTCCAAGAACACAATAAATCAGGACACTAGTCATTGACTGACAATTGAGGTCTAGACCCTATACGACGTTCCAAGAGCCAGGGCGAACTTGTCCAGGTCTTCATCGGGTCCTGCCATCAAGCAACACAGTACACAGTCAATCAAAGAACAACTTGTCCGCCACACAGATTTCCAGCTTACTACGTGAAAGCTTCTGTCTGTAATTGACTGTAATTAGTAGACTGGTTGCTGAATAATGATCTGAGTGAAGGGCCTCCACTGGATGTTAGTTCAACAGCTGCAAGAGAAACCTTCGTACAGAATCAGTGGCACATGAAGCAAGTTGCTATGCAGCACCTGACTGACCGACATTGTAGTCGTGCAATTGAATTGAATCACATCGAAAGGATATGGATGGCCAGCATTTGGCTCAACAGTTCATTCCGCTTCAAAGTCCAAGAGCAACATAAATATAGTACAGTCAATTGAGGTCTAGACCCTATACGACTTTCGGAAGGGCCAGGGCGAACTTGTCCAGGCCCTCATCGGGTCCTGCCGTCACGCGCCACACAGTCAGTACACAATCAAACAGCAACTTGTCCGCCACACAGTTTTCCAGCTAACTAAATACATGAATGCTTCTGCTTTGGATGCCCTTATTTACTCTTGTTTTTGGCTGTAGTATGCTCAAGCTTGCTTCCCAAATACAGTTTAACTTGAAAACAAGCGAACACTTCCGACGGAGAGGTGTTATTAAAGGTGTTGGAGCCAAGCTGTGAATGAATTGAAATTCAGTTCTTTAGTTTTTAACATCTCATCTCTTTTTCCTGTAAGTTCTACAAATCTGCATCAAGCACAAGGGGAACACCACTTGGATTGGCTTGCAAATCTGACCCCCACAAGTCCGGCTTTCCCCCTCCAAAACCTGCATTTCAGCCGGACTTGTGGGGGTCAGATTTGCAAGCCAATCCAAGTGGTAAAACCGCAGTAATTGCACCTCCATCGGCAAAGCGTGTAGAAGCGCTGAAATGAAAAGCTCCCAGACCTCAAGGGATTGCACCAATCAAGCAACAAATAAAAACTCATGCCATCAACAGCGTTGGTAAGTAAGTAAACAAAGCTGTTCGGTCACAGCATTATCACGTGGTCAAAGACTAAGTCAGAATGGGGTGTCAGTTAATTGGTTGACAGCTGTTGTTGAGTTGAGTGGCAGACCGCGAAGAAACCACAAAGGTATAGCGTCTGTGGTATCCTGCCACGGTGTTCATCAACTGCGTTTTTCTACTGATACTGTATTAATACGCTTGCGATGCACTGCAAACTCAAAGACCAAAGCCAGTACTATAAGACAAAAACGAATCAAGTGGACTTCAACTCGGCACAAATTCATTTTGACAACCCACTCTGTTAGGTCACAGTTGCTTGCCAGACAGATCACTGACAGTTCCCAAGAAAACTGTTGTTGATTCATGTCATTACCTCTAATTAAGTGAATTGTCCAATTCACTTTGCTCGCGGCTTGACAAAAAGGGCAGTTGCCAGAAAGGCTACGCCCCACGATTCACTCGCAGCATCGGCGGACTCCACTTTGAAAATGTAGAAGGGACCATCTTCCTGAGCTGTGAGCTGATCTGGCCAATGTTGCAGCCAATGCTCCAGACGACTTCCCGCTATGCACATAGTTCTAGAATCAAACTACTTTGACAAACAAATTACATCATAACAAGGATTGAATATACCACCTGCTATCACCTGCGGTCTATTGGCCAACAAAGGTTCCTTGTGTGAATGCTGGACTTGTACATCTTTCCCACGCCAGTTGAAATAGCACCCAAAGTACCATCCGGTGGTCTGCATGTACCGGCTGTTGCAAACACGAGCGGCAGCTACTGCAGCTTCCTCACTATCACGAGCCTTGAGTACGCCGTCGACAGCCTCATTGATGGCCTGTAACAAGGCCTCGTTGGCTTCCCTCAGTGCAGTTGGCAGAAGGGAAGTTCAATTCTCAAGTCCTACAACTGCCAATCTGTCTTGCAAACGTAAAGGCGCTATACTATCAAAGCTTGTAATCCAACAATGCTAAAACAAAACAAATGAAGAGCCATGGATCGTCAAGGCCAAGGAAAACTTCACTTTGTCAAGGTCAACCAAAAATCCTGCTGATGGCCCTCCATGCCTGCCATCTCCATTTGGGCGCGCTTGCAAGTACCTCAACAGCCAGGTGGCCAAAATGCAATGGGACTGTATGAATGAATGACAGACTGTAAATACATCATCACACAGGCATCCCTAGTTGATATAAATGTAGAAAAAATACAAACCCTGTGCCATCACAAGCCACACCACCCTTCGAGCCATCACAAAGGCATTTATTTACACAAATGCATATACCACTGCGCAACACTGCTACCTCGGCAATAAATTCCTGTGAAACAATCGTTAACTTCCTTGCAAAAGATTGGTTGTAGTTCATTAAACTTAAAACCATGTGTTAAGGCCACCTCTTATGTTTGTGGTCAAGATACTCATCCTGGAGTTGATGATGCTCATCGAGGCTAAAACCAACAGCTTTCCACATGACAGTGGCCACCTCGGTTGACACGTCCCCCTTGGCCAAACCATGTTCGATCTCCTGAATTGCCTGTACGATCTCAAACGGAGTCCCCATGTCCATCATGGCTTGGCTCACAAAGTCAAATTGACACAGTAAGGCTATCTGGCTATCTGACACAAACCGAACTGCAGCCCAAACAGCAGCAGTTAAAAACAAACTTATTTCAGTCAGCTCCAATATTACACGTCAGCGCCATTGAATTGAACCTTCGATTGAAAGCAACCCTTGGACGGATGGGTCCTGCGTGCTTGCAGTAGCTGCGTCCCCCAGCCTCAGTGAAGAGTGTTTCACATTGCACATGAAGCTGCTGGAAAATATGACAGCCAAAGTCAGTGGAGCCAATTTGTTGTCTATTAAACATTAGTCAATTACCAGATGCACACAACATCCACACCTTGACAAAGGTCAATGATTCGATCTGTGGGCTAGCTGTGGAGAAGCAATAGGTAGCCAACGCAGAAGAAGTCCACATCCAACAAGCAGGGCACCCACCTTGGTTGGAACTACTATCCATGGCCAATTGACACAAGATTGAACCATCATGTATCAAATAGTTTTTGAACACGTCAATACTTATTAAAATGCCTTCCACCTGTGACATGGCTGGCAATGGCAGAGAAAGAATGTCAATTCAAGTTGGGCAATGGCTTCCCCCTGAAAGCCCCGGACTCCAGCATTGCCACAGCAGGAAACTGCTTGACGCCACGCCTAAACAGACATAGAATCTTTCAAGATGACACTATCACTCATTCTACCATCCTTGCATCATCAACAAAGAAGGGAATCCGCTGTCAGCTGTCTCCAATTCAATTCAGACTTGGCTCTGCAATCACGACACAAATACAGAAAAACAAACCACTGACAGACACTAGAAGATCCTTGATTGCTCAGAAGAAAGGTCGAGGCTATGGCCTCCTCATTCAGGTCGAAAATGAACACGTTGCGCTCGCCATGAGAGCCTGCATTCCAATGACGGCATACAAAGCTTATTGCACTTTCGAACACCTTGAGGTTTGAAAACTATTTTAAGCCACGAGCTAGAAACACCTGTTTTGCAAAGCTTGGTGATACCTTTCTCATTTGACCAGGTATTTTTCCGCTTCCGCGAGAAGGCGACGGTGAACCTCATATGCTCCTGGCAACAAATGCATATTAGCTACATGTCTATGGCAATGGGACTTCGTCCTGATTTGACTACTGCAAGCCTTGGCTAGTCTTTGGGGAACTTGAAGAATTCAAAAAGGTCAAATCATGCCACAGACCTTCAAAACTTGGAAACTGATCCGAGGACAGAGCTTTCTTTTGTCGAAAGTATCTCACACGAGCTTTCACGCAAACTGCCAAGAGGTCTTCAAATCCCAATGGCGATGACTTGCACTCTGCGCCAAAGGTTGCAGCATTGTCGATTTCAAACAAGATGTCGATCAGCTGGTCTTTTCGCAAACCTTGAACTGGCACAGAGAACTCACCACAAAGTTCTGCCAAGGCCTTCGAACTCCAGGAGCAGAACCCTGGCAAAATGAAGGCTTTCCTTTTGCGGCTGATCTGCGTCTGCGTTGTCTGCGTCTCTTCAATCTCAATCCAACTTGAAGAAATACTTTCAGACGATTTGGCCATGCGCGATCTGAATCAACCTCTAATAACACAACACATCTACAAAGAGGCCTAAAGCAGGAACACGTTCAAGCTTGAGCCCCAAAAGCCACTGTTTCAAAAATAGACACACCTGTCATTCTGTACTGTGTAACCCTTGCATCAGGGCCATGAGCATCATTCAAAAATAATTCCCTGACATTACACCAGATCAGCCCAGCCAGCCTCCAATCACCATGAGAGGCCGAAACGTGCTGACACTCACTGATCATAAATTGAATATAATATATTCTACTATTCTATGCGCAAGCCAGTTTTGTGGTGTGCGTGTGTGCCTTGTTCCCTTGTTCTTGCATGATGTGTCAACTACAGCATGCCATCATTGAATCACACCGGCGAGGAAGGCCCGCAAATGCAAAAGCACTGCGCAATGAAACTGCACAAATTGCGACTGCCGCCTGCAGGGCTCCTAAGAACAAACCTGATGAACAAATACCATTGAAATTTCTTCTTTGTATGTTTTGCATGAGAAACCCTGCCTGCTTAAGATGAAAGTCTGAAGCATCAGTTCTCAAACATTTCCAAATCGAAACAAACACCCAAACCTACGTTGAAAAAAAACTATTATAGTCAACAGACGACTTGAGACAGCCTTCAATTTGTCCATCCTTTGTCTAGAGACGACTTGAACCAATCTTGCATTGTTTCCACCCTTCGCCTAGAGACAACTTGAGCAAGGCCTACATGTTTGCCATTCTTCGTGTAGGCACAATTTGAGCTACGCTTGCATGTTTTAACATATTTCACTTAGAGACGACTTGAACCATGCTTACATGTCACACTCCTTCCGCTAGAAACGATTTCAGCCAGGCTTACATTTTTGCAATCCTTCCCCTAGAAACCATTTGAGCCAGGCTTACATGTTTGCAATCCTTCGCCTAGAAACGATTTGAGCCAGGCTTGGAGTTTCCCATCCTTCGCCTAGAAACGATTTGAGCCAGGCTTGGATTTTCCCATCCTTCGCCTAGAAACAACTTGAGCCAGGCTTGGATTTTTCCCATCCCCCGCCTAGAAACGACTTGAGCCAGGCTTCTATTTTGGTCTAATTTTCTCACATCTACTTCCTCAGATCCCACGGTTCTAGGCCCCACTGATCTGAGGGTCACCTCCGGGTTGAGGAGAACCCTTCTGCAAAGAAGACAACAAAACAGTAGTGAGATCATCATCACCCAACGCATCGCCAACAGACTGGCACGCCGAAACATATTCAGGCACCATATCGTGCAGCAAGCTGTCAGGTTGAACAACAAGTTCGTCGTTCTGTGGCATGTCTATCTGGCTCAGTACGGCATTCTCCAAAGCAAAGCCACCATCCTTGTCAGCGTACACTGCAGCGAAAGGACCAGTTCGTGGGTACTTCAAGCCCATGCGCGGCCACAAGGTGCAAATTGGAAGTGAGAGACCTCGTTTGTCACGGAAGTAGCTTCTGGAGCGAGCGCATGCCGCCATGCATGCACATTTTGCCTCTTGCAGAAAAAGCTCCGAAGAATCAGGCAGGCGAGCAGCACAAGGACGCGTGGGACCACGGTCACGTAGTTTCCACCATCTGTTGCTGTTCCCAGACTGAGGGCTACAAGACAGCTTGTCGAAAACATGCATCCACCGGATCTTAGCCTCCCACTGAAGAAGGCAAGAAGACACAACTTGCAAAGAAGGGAGTTGTCTGCTCATGTACACATGTTTTGCGTGCATCCTCAAAACAAATTCAACACTCCAAGGAATTTCACCAGGAGAAGGAATTGAAACACTCTTGCGTACAGGAGAATACATGTACACCCCATCATTGCCAAGACCACATTGCAAAAGGCAACAGAACTCAGCGATGGACATCCCCCTGATCAAGCGCAAAAATTGCTGTAGATTCAACTCCGTGTCCCCTTGGGAATCCCTTGCCCTTTCCTTTGCCTTTGGTTGTATTTCCAGTCTTTCCGCCTTTGGCTTTTCCTTTCCGACCGTAGTGAAAAACTGACTCATGCTTAGGCTTCCCTCCTTTAGCATCATGCACAGAAGGTGGACTCCAAGGGGATTGAGGCCACAACCCCCCATGTAGACCATCATGCCGGAGACCGTAGGACTTGCCTTTGCCTTGTCCCTTTGTCCCTTCGTTTGGAAAATGCGAAGCAGCTCTACTCTTGCCTTTCCCTTTCCCTTTGCCCAGTCCAGGAAATTTCTTCGCTGCACGCTTGTCATCCGCTGGAGCTTCAGAAACAAAAGGTGCAAAATCATCCTTGGACATAGTCACACTGGAAGTGGTGGAAACAAAAGCGGCTGCCGACTCTACTGCTGGTTGCGAAGCTCTGGAAATCTCACCACGCTTCGGTTTCTGTGCCATAGCGATGCGCTTGTCTATCGCATCATTCAGAAAGTCAGCTGGGGCTTTCTTGGTCAAAGCACTCAATAGCTTCTCTTTCTTAAGCTGCGACCTTTCTTCTAAGTCTTTTTTGGTGTTCAAAAAGGAGGCGGCACGATCAACGGTCCGAGTGTAAATCACTGTAGCCTTGGCAGTCAAATTCTCAATGCTCATGCCTTTCATCTCTACATCGTCTTCTAAATCAAGGTCAAGTTCATGCCAAAGAGAAGACTGGAGAGCACGTGTCTGCAAGCATGTGGAAACAAAAGTACTTTCTTGGTGGCTGCTCTCAATACTTCACGCTGTTGCTGAGCCACCAGAAGGTCATAGCGTTTCATCCGTTCCAAATATGCTCTATGCAGAATTTCACGGCATTCACGCAAAGACTTGCCGTCAGGAATCTCAAGGCCGAACGTCCGGAGGTTCTCTTCAGGCGAGATGGAATCCCAAAGCGTGGTCTCAAAAGGAACCGAGCAGGGCTTGCAACCGTTCGGAATGCGACCTTTGGACAACAAAGCAATGGCTTCCTCATTCTTTGCGATTCTGGCTTTGGTTTTCTGCAGCTGTTCTATAAGCGTACTTCTTGATGGCCTTCAGAGCATCAGAGGACATGGAATTTCTAAGTTCAGCATCAACCAAGTTTTTGATTTATTGAATCTTCCGCTCCACTTCTTGTTTCTGTGAAGTGTTCACCTCTTGTTCAGCACCGGAAGGACTTGCAGCTTCTCGCGACCGTGAGCGATGCTCTCGACGCTCTTGAGTCTGTCCTTCTGGAGGTTGCTGGACTGAAAGCAACTGTCTGGGTTGTCTAGACTCAGTGCCGGCCATGGCGTTGAAAAAAGGTATGTTGCACAAAAGCACACGGGCGGCAACAACCAGGCTCAAAGCACTAAGCGCACACCGTTTTACTGCGCCCTGGAACTTGCGACTCTAGGTGTAGCCTCGCTTTGCTGAGCGCCTTGCACAGAAAAAACTGCGGCAACCAAACATGTGTGATTTCACAACGAAAAGGTTGCAAGAGCAACAACAACAAGAGATGATTGTAATGGACCAAAATGAGAGATTGTGACTAGTAAAGTCATCAAGAGCAGAGAATTCAGTAGACAATTCATCAAACATGTTTCAGCAGAAAAGTTATAGATCAAAAGTAGAGATTAAAGAGCGGGAGGGGACGCTGAAATTAAAAAGAGCGGGAGGGGGTGTGGGTGAGGGCGCAGCGCCTCCCCCGTAATGAATGTCTAGAAGAGTCATCAAAAGCAAAGAATGCAATAGAAAACGCAAAAGATAGAGTTCAATATAAAATTCATTTAAAAAAATATCACAGTAGTGATTGAACTAGAAAAACCGTTGAGGTTTCAAAACACATATAGTCTGACATCGATAGAAGCCAAAAGCCACAAAAGCCAAACAACCCAAAAGCCACACTGAAGCCAAAAGCCATAGAAGCCAAAAGCCGCAAAAGCCACCAAAGCCAGAAGCCACAAAAGCCACAGAAGCCAAAAGCCACCAAAGCCACCTAACCACTAAAAACAACAAAACATATAAAAACACATCACCAAATCACCCTCCCTTTCTCGGCATGCCCATCGCTGCAGAAATGGAGACGTGTAAACCTCGTTGGAAGCAAAAGCAATCGCAAGCTTGCCGCAAGCTCAACGAGGCCCAGTTCCACTAAACACGACAAAAAGCTGGGCATGGAGCTGCCAGCTACGTAAGTGATGGTCTCCGGTCAGAGCCCGTCCCCAGGGAGAGGGCACCGGATCTACGCGTCTTCTTCGGATCGACGGGGCGCAAAAGCCATGCCAGTCGCGGACCGAAGAACATCAGGTCGGCCACCGAAAAGCCCGCCTGATTCAGCTGATTCAGCTGAGTGACTGCGAGTGATTGGCTTCTTGGGCTTCCAACCACCAGCAAATGTCATAAGCTTGACCGAATCAACTACAAACATGAGGTCGTTCCCATTTTTTTTAATAACTTTGGAAGTCTAGGGACTACGATTGGCTGGCGCTGAAGCCACGGTACTTCGCAAGACACGGAGAAGTCCTTGCTTGGTGTTTGGAAGTGTAGGGAAGGTGCGGGGAGGCTCGTCATGCCCCATGGCCATACACAGGCTCCCTAGGATTACCTTAGGAGAGTTCCAGCCAATCGCTAGGGCCGCTAGGGATTCGGCAACCATCCAAAACAGGGGTGAATCATAAATCCGTTTGAGCAATCTTGCAACAAGCAAACCTAAACTCCTTGGCTCTGTTTATGGGTTCCCACAGAAATCTCTGATCCCTGTAGTCACTCACATCGTGAACCTGTTATACTTCAAAGTTATATATCTCAGCTGCCAAATCCACTAAGAAATCATCCGCCGACCGCCACTCTGACCTGTCTCGCCTGTGGAATCACATAGCCGTTGGTGCTTTTCGCCAGAATCCCCTCGAAGATCTGAATCCTGTGCACCGAAGCAGAAGCAGAAGTGGAACACGTCGGTGGGTTCCACGTGGGACGTCTCAGGGACCTGCTCGTTCCGCGAAACAACTGCTCAAGATCTGCGGTTGGTTGGATTCCTCCGTTGAGGACTGCCGAGACGGAGCGGCAGACGGAGGATTTGGAGATGTTGAGACCGAACATGGAACAGTGACACACAACGAAACAAAAACAGGTACGACACATAGAAAACAAGAAACATGTATGATATTGTATGATCCTGTATGCTATGTACATATGGAAAATGTTCTTTGTTTTTCTTCAATATTACACCCCCTTTTCTCAGGTACACCCTGCGACTCCATGTCTAAATGGTCTGAGCATGGCTGGAAGAAATGCTCCGTGTCATTCGCAGTGGCGGAGAAGTCGTTTTCAAAAGCACCCGTTGAGACTGTTCAGAGTGCCCCAAGCCATGCTGCAAGCAACACAGATTTTAGGGATGATTTCAAAACCTTTCAAAACAGTTCGCTAGCTCTGACTATTCAAGTACCTTTGACGCAGGCCGTTTGTGAAAGAGAAGAGTGTCTTGACAACCACGGTTATAAAACCTATTCGAGATCCACGCAGCACTTCATCTCACAATCGAAAGGCATCTGAGGCCCAAACAACCCCCGAGCTTCGCCATCTGTGTCGAACAAGCGTTGCCGTGCTTGCTCCTGATGCTGTCAAACCAAACACCAAACACCTGACCGGAAAACAAAGACAAACGCTCCATGGGACAGAAAATACATATGCCTTTCTTTCGACCCTCGAAACCACCGTGTAGACGCAAAAAAAAAGCACACATGGAGTGTCTGGGAAATATATACACACCTTATAAATAATGTTACAAACCCATTTACACCGACAAATAAATCCGAGATCACTAGCCATATCTAGCCATCTATCACTAGCGGGGCCAAGGCCGCCCACATCGTTTTCACGAGGCTGCACCAAAGTGCAACGTCCGGTGCTGCCAAAGTGCTTGCAAGTTGAGAATCCTCACCCAAAGCTCTTACCATCTAATATCATGTTTGTGTGTTTGTTTTGTTTCATTATATACTGTAGTTTATCACTATCACTATCTTTGACGGAGGCTTTCTTGTAAACTTCATCGAATCATTCATTCACATCTGTTGAGTTCCGGGTGCTCCAGAACTACGACCGGTCGTTGGCAGGATTTGGGCTCAAAAAAGCGGCCTCCTCGATCACAGAGTACACCGGCGATACCAAGGCGGACCCAACGTGACCCTCTTGAAAACACCGGGTGGATCGCATGCATCTCTTTTGTTAGGTGGCAGCTGCAGGACAGTTGAGCTGCGTCGATGAAGATCTCTCACAGATTCTCACTGTCCAACCTACAACGGTGCGTTCTTACAGAAGGCACGGAATCTCGCGCCTTCTGGGCTTGGTTCTGAATCCTGGCGAGGGAGAGAAGAAGCCACTTAGCATGACAAGACTGTGACTATGGCGAGATCTGTGAGCACCCAGTTTAACATGAAAGAACAACTGCTGGTGTTCACCATCTAAGTATACACCAGGTGTTGGGCGTGCAATCCTCTTTGTCTGATACTATTTGAGTTAGAGTAGATAGTTTCGAGTATAACACTGAGGGCCCATACTGATCGCCGGCATGGTGGACACAAGACTCTTACGCAGTGTTCAACTTGTCGAGACTCTTTGTGGCAGCAAGAAACCTGTCCTTCTGGGGCAAAGAAATTCCACCAGCTCCAAATGACGGAGGTATGTTTGTCAGGTAACTTCCCCTGGTTGAGGCTTTTGTGATACTCCCGCACTTGGCTGAAGTGGCACCTACAAACTTGGGTCAAATTGATGGCTCGCGTCAGTGGGAGGGTCGATTATACTTGGATTTGCTGAAGGAACCTGAAAAAAAAACAAACAAACAAAAACATATTTCCAGAGCGGGGATTTACCCATAGGCCCATAGGGAAATAAAACATCACCTGAAGCAATACCAGGTCCATCGGTGTGTATTTTAATAGAGACACCCACAACCAATGGGTGTTGGTCTATTTCCCTTCTTCCAGTCTTTGGAGGGTCCCCCTATTTCAATACCATATGTTACTGGAATTGCTTTAAGGTTTTACGCACGAACTCTCTTGGTAGCCACTTTCGGGGTGGCCGCCCGCTCTTGGAAAACACTCTCGTGAACCTCGATGGTGCGCTGAGATCGGGGCTGTTGGACTGAGTGTTCGTATACCGGCTACGCCTTGAGGACTAAACGTTTAGACTAAACGGTGGCAATTCGTCCCTCACAGGCCCAAAGATTGTGTGAATCTTTTCCTTGTTCAACACAGAGATGTGCTGATCTGGGGCAAGATGGGGCAAGAAAGCAAAGGCCAATTGAGGAAACTGAAGGGGGAATCTTTAGACAAAGAATCAGTGCCCCTTAATATCTTGTGTAGATGATATCAAACTCAAACAAAGCTCATGAATGAACGAACGAGCGTTCCCTCAACCCAATGTCCTCTCTGCTCTCAATCAGTGAAACCTTCCCAATCGTCCAAGCCCATCCGAAAACGTGGTTTTGCTTAAGGAACCCGGAAAAATATCTGAAATATTCCCGAAGAGGATTTACCCATACCAGTAGGAAAAACAAAACATCACCTGATCCGCAGATCACCGAGCCCGTCAGTTCATCGAGCTTCTTTCTTGCCTGTAGGTGGGTGCCAGAAGGATCCAAAGGTCGTCGAAGGAGTCCATGACTTCGTCCACCTGGAGCTGCCATCAGGGGGGCCATCAGGGGACTGCCGCTTCACTTTGGACTATTTGTCCCTAGGGCTCCAGTCGTACCTTCTAAGAATGTGCTTGAGGTGGGTTTAGAGGGTCCAAATACCTTCTGATGAGGCACGACTGGAGCCCTAGGGTATATCATTACTGTATCTCAAAACTATAGACTTACAGTATATCAATTAGTTATAGTTATAGATGATAGCTGTTTTATGTCTTGATCTACGTATTGCTTGATACTACACTATATACAAACAGGTACTCTCCAAATTATGGAGACTTCTTGGAAGGTCCAGAATGGACGTTAAATCATGCCTCTTGCCATTTTGTTGCCGAGTGTAATTATGTTCAACAAACCAAACAAAGAGTGCCTGCATGCATGATTTAGCTTTCCGCCCGCTACATACCACTAGTTTCTTCATGTTTCTTCCATTCTCTTCCTTGTCCCTGTTGCATTGAATTCCTTGTTCTGTCCCAACCTCCCGTCCCGCGCCATCCCCCTCATCCACCGACCCATCCGTCTGCGCCTTGGCGGCCACATATGGATCACAAGGATACAGACATTTGCCTCGCTCAGACTTGTCACGCCGTGGACCGGTGGACCCGCCGTGGACCCGGAAAGT